TAAGGGCCCCATTAAACGCATCAGGGTCTAATGAGACTATTTATGACCTAGTTGGTGTCATTTTGACTCAATCGGACTTTTTAACGAGATTTAGGCCCATCATATCCACTACCACCATTTGGACCCACTAAGGACCGTTAAGACCCATTACGCCTCAATTACTCCCATTAACGTCTGATTATACTAATTTTAAACCATTTAGTACCATTATGGCTCAATTAGACTGGAATAGGAGAAATAAGCCCATGATAACCATTAAGGTTTGAACAAACCAAATATGGCCCATTTAGGGTCATTTTTACCCAATTAGACTCCGTATGGAGAATTGGGCCCATCATTCCCATTAGGGTCTAAAAAGACTAATTATGACCTAGTTTGAGTCGTGTTGACCCAATTGGATTTCTTAAGGAGAAATAGGCCAATTATATCACTAACACTGAATGGACCCTCAATCACTCCAATTAATGTCTGATTGGACTAATTCTGACGAATTTAGCACATCATATCCATGAAGGTCTGATCAAACTAAAAATGACCCAATTAGTGTCATTTTGGGCCAATTAAAATCCTTATTGATTTTGCGGATGTGATCATGGAAGAACCGGTTTACCAAGATTTTGCAGATGTGATTTTAGGGGGTTTGTCCCCTCGTTCTTTGCATGGTAGTGATGACATCATTGTCTCGTCTGATGCTAGGGCTGATGTAAGCAAGCGTGATTGTGACGAAAAGGACAGGCATTTGAGGCCAGATGTGAGCATTCCAGATTTAAAAAAAGGGGTCTCGGTTTGGGAGAGATTATCTCCTATGGACGCGGGTGTGAATTCTTCTCAGATTCAAAATCCTTTTGCTGCAGTTGTTGGAGGTGCTCCATCTTCGGAGTTGACCTATTATCCGGTGGAAAAGAGTGTGACTCCAAGGATCCAATTCCCTTTAGACGTTACTAGAGGTATGGCAAAATCTTTCCATTCGGTTCTTTATGGGTATTTTCTAGGAACTAGATTTCCGTTTCCTCTTGTGTTACGTGCGGTTCAAAATGTGTGGGGTAAATTTGGTTTTAAAGATGCTATGGTGAATGATCTTGGTTATTTCTTCTTTCATTTTAATGATGGAGGTGGATGTGCTCAAGTGGTTGAATCGTCACCTCTAATGATAAGAGGGGTGCCATTGTTTGTTTCTCCATGGGACCCGTCTAAAGGGCTTTTTAAACTGGAACACTCATCGTGCCCTTTGTGGATCAAATTTTTTAACATCCCTCTAGTTGCCTTTAATAGAGAGGGAATTAGTKGTATTGCTAGTGCGGTTGGGGTTCCTTTACATTTGGATGCTTGTACGGCAAGCACTTGTKATAAAGCTTGGGGGAGAACGAACTTTGCAAAGGTTCTGGTGAATGTTTGGGCCRTGGGGAAATTGCAGAGGGAAGTTGAAGTGGTAATCCCGAGGCTTTCGGGTAATGGAGAAGATATGGTCAAAGTGGTATTGGAGTATGATTGGGTGCCGTCTCAATTTTCCATATGTAAAACGTTTGGTCCTCGGGATTCTTCATGCATGAAAGGGGTTATTCGGAAACCAATAGAGCATCCAAAGGTGTTTGAAAAGGAGGGTTTTCATAAATCTAGGCGACAACAATGGAGGCCGAAGAAYATTTCAAGAGTTCATAATGGAAACCAGGTGGAAACCCCAATAGCTAATATAGATGAAACTTGTATGACTTATGATACGTTATATGGTGTTGGTGTTTTAAAGCCAGCACCAAAGGTAATACCTCCGGATGTGAACAYAAAGGCGAATGGTGTTGTTAGTCCTAAGTCTAAATCTGTGGTTTTTGAAGTCTCAAATGGTAATAGTGATAAGCATGTGGGAGGGACGTATTGTACTGTGGAAGCTGGCAGAACGCCCAGAGGTAGAGAGGGTAGTTTGAATTTATCGATCCGACTTCCGGGGGATCCGGAACTAGTAAAGGCTGTGGTATAAGCTTTCCAGCCGAGACGGGGTGTTGCGGCTCAAACGTCTATGAAGAACCGTTTCCTGTCTCTATCTTCTAAAGATACTAGTGAAGATGATGATATGGAGATAATTGATACGGCCAGGTGTGATGCGGGGGGTCTTTTTAGTGGTAATAGTAATGAGGCGGCTGGCGGGAGTATGGGGGAGGGTGATGCAACCACTTCTCATTCCCAATGATTAAGTTTGCTTCATGGAATATTAGGGGTCTTAATGCCCTAATAAAGCAAAGAGAGGTACGTTTATCCAGGTAAAAAGTCTTTCGTTATGTTGCATTATTGAATCTAAAGTTTTAAAAAGTAACCTAGGAGATTTATGTGGACGTGTTTTTCGAAGTTGGAATTGGGTCTCAAATGGTCACTCCTGTACTCAAGGTACACGCCTTATTATTGCTTGGGACCGTCTGTTTTATCCTTGATTGTGATTGAACAACATTTGCAATATGTGAATTGTGAAATCCGTATTGTTGGTAAGCCGGAGCCTATCTTTTTTACGTTTATTTATGGGTTTAATACGGGGGTGGAAAGGAGGGATCTTTGGAGGGCTCTTGGGAATTTTAAAGTTTTTATCCATAATAAAGCTTGGATAGCAATGGGAGATTTTAAGTCGATGCTTTTCCCTCATGATGGGTTGGGAGGGTCGTCTAGGCGTAACTCGGATATGGAAGAGTTCCATATTTGTCTAGAAGATGTAGTGCTTTTTGATATCTCTTATCAAGGGTGTCAATACACTTGGATTCAGATGCCATCAGGGGATGGGGGTATTCTTCGCAAGTTAGATCGGATTTTGGGGAACTTGGAGTTTATTGATAAATTTGGGGATGCATCAGTTTTCTTTGAACCAAGAGGGATCTCTGACCATTCGCCGGGTATTTTAACTTGCAAAGTTGGGAAAAGGATTAGAAATCGTGGTTTCAAGTTTGATAATTTCTTGACTTCTCATAAGGATTTTCTTAGTTCGGTTGGGGGAGTATGGATTAAACCGAAGAAAGGATCCTATATGAAGAAAGTTCTCCTTAAAATGCAAGAGATGAAAGGGGTTTGCCGTAGACTAAGGAATTCTTATGGTTGCTTGGATAAGAAGGTGACATTGTTAAAGTCGGAGCTTGATGTTGCTCAATTGGCTTGTGACCTAGATCCTTTTAATGATTTGCTAAAAGAGGATGCCGCTCATCTCTTGTTAGCATATCAACAAGCTCGGACTGATCAGTTGGAATTGCTTAGACAAAAGACGAAGATTTCTTGGCTGAATGAGGGGGATGGAAATTCAAAGTTCTTTTTTCACTCTATGAAAGAGAAGCGTAACAGGTATCACATTGCTGCTATTAAGGACTGTTGCGGTATGGTTTTTGAGCATGATGCAGTGCCACAAGCTTTTGTTACTCGTTTTTCAGGTATTTTAGGTACTTTTGATGCGATGGTTAATTCTTCTATGGAGGATTGTGTTTTTGATCGTTCTTTGTCTTTAACGGAATCTCTGTAATTAATCCGGCCCATTACTAATATGGAAATAAAGACTACTTTTTTTGCTATTGGAAATGAAAAGGCCCCGGGATCTGATGGGTTTTCTTCGAAATTCTTTAAGTTTGCTTGGAGTGTGGTGGGTCGGGATATTCTTATTGGGATCCATAATTTCTTCTACTCGGTCACCCTAGAGTATCAATTGAATCACACATTGCTTTGCCTTATTCCAAAGGTCCCAAATGCATCCTATGTATCTGATTTTCGGCCAATAGCTTGTTGCAATGTGTTGCTCAAATGTATTAGTAAAATCATTGTGGACAGGATGAAAGACTCTTTGGATGCCCTCATCAGTAAGGCTCAATCTACTTTTATTCTTGGAAGACAGATTACTGACAACATTTTAATGGAGCACGAGCTTGTGGCGGGTTACCAAAACTCCAAGGGGAGCCAAAATATGCTTTCAAGATCGATATCAGAAAAGCTTATGATACTGTTGATTGGAAGTATCTGCTTGGGATGTTGAAGGAAATGGGTTTTCATCCGGTTATGATCAATTGGATAAAGTCGTTAATCTCTATGCCAACATTCTCTATTTGCATTAATGGTCAGTCGGAGGGTTTTTTTCATGGAAGGCGTGGGCTTAACAAGGAGATCCACTATCTCCTTACTTGTTTACGGTGGTCATGGAAGGATTATCGATGATCCTCAAAAATTGTATTGATGAGGAAATGAATTTTGCTTACCACCAAGGATGTGAAGACCTCAAGTTAACTCATTTATGTTTTGCTGATGATCTTTTTATTTTCTCTCGAAGGGATAACATGTCGGTAGAAGTGATCAAACGCGCCCTCCAAACGTTTGAAGTTAGATCGGGTCTGTCTCTGAGTCTTGAAAAAAGTGAGGTGTTTTTTGGAAATATTCTGTTGGATGTTCAACAAGCCATTCGAAATTGCCTTCTTTTTCGTCCGGGGGTGTTTCCTATTCGGTACCTGGGTGTTTCCCTCTCTCCGGTTAGATTTAAGGTACGTGATTTCAACCCTCTTGTGGTTAATCTTAAAACTCGATTGATGAACTGGAAAAACAAATTTCTATCATTTGGAGGTAGAAGACAACTCATCATATATGTTCTTCAATCTATGCAAACATATTGGATGTCGGTCTTTCTCCTCCCTACGGCTACAATCCATGAAATTGAACAAGTTTGCCGTAATTTCTTATGGAATAAGGCGGATGGGGTGTTGGGTAAATGTAGAATTTCATGGGAAAGGGTTTGTTTGCCTGTAAAAAATGGGGGTCTTGGCATGAAAAGATTGGCCCTTTGGAATAGGTGTTTGYTGTTTAAACATATTTGGGATATTATTAGTAGAAGAAGTTCTATGTGGGTTTCTTGGATTCATACAAACTGTATTCGGGGGAGAAATTTTTGGGTGATAAGGAAGAGAAATGAATGGTCTTGGCTTATACAAAACCTTTTACGGTTGAGACCCCACTGCCAGAGATTTTTTATCTCAAATGTGGGTAACGGGATGTCTACGCATGCTTGGGAAGATACTTGGAGTGAACAGGGTCCCCTTATCCAGTTGCTTTCGTATAGGCTCATTAATGGCAATGGGTTTCATAATAACTCTACAGTTTATGATCTCATGCAACGGTTTGGTATTGCGTGGCCGGATGAATGGGTACGATTAGGTGGCTTGATCCTTCTAAGAATCGGCAGCTTTTTGAAGTGAAGGTGGCGTGGAATACTCTGCAAGAAGTGGGTCCGGTTGTGCATTGGCACAAGGTGGTTTGCAATAAAGCATATATACCTAAACATGCTCTCTTCATGTGGATGGCTTGTTAGAAAAGATTACCGACCCAAGACCGCATTTGCCAGTGGAAGCATGAACCCCCGATCTGAAATGTGTTTGTTGCCACTTGGTAATTGAAACACATAATCACTTATTCTTTGAGTGCAACTATTCGTATAGTATTTGGGAAGTGATAAAGAGGGAAACAGGGATCCAGATATGTCCGGACAGTTGGGAGGATATCCTTAATATGGGGCTTTTTTACAAGGGTGGAAATTGTGGTCTACGGTTCAAAAGCTGGGTATCTCGGCTACGGTATATCACATATGGATGGAAAGCAATAGAAAGTACTTTGACAATAATAACCGCACTGGTGCTCAAGTTGTGGCTGATATTAAAACACATAATCTTCAAAGAATGGCGTGGAAGACAAGGAAAAAGCTTATGAGAATAAATGACACATGATCTTGATGAGGGTGTTGGGTTTCGGTTCTGGAAGTCTTTGGTGGTTAGCTCTTTCCTTTATTCGGCTTGTTTTAGAATCCTTTTATGGTGCATTTCTTTTTGTTTATTTTGGCTTCTTATGACTTGGTTTGTGAGTCAAAGTTGCCGTAGTTTTTCCTGCTGATCTGTACTTTGTTTTCTTGTCTTAATTTGCCTTTATAAAATCGCCTGGGGAGTTCTCCCCTTTCAGTAAAATCCTTATTGATAAATGGGCCTATTAACCTACTAGGTTCTAATCAGATTAATTATGACCCATTTATTGTCATTTTCATCCAAATGACTCGATTACAACTAAATAGGCCCAATATATCGAATGAGTGTACATGGACCCATCAAGGACACTTAAGATATTCTACCCAACTAGTCGTATTAACAACTAGTTAGACTAACTATGACCCATTTAGTGTCATTTTGACCCAATTAGACTAGTTATGAAGAAAGGGCCACATTAAACGCATCAGGGTCTAATGAGACTATTTATGACCTAGTTGGTGTCAATTTGACTCAATCGGACTTTTTAACGAGAATTAGGCTCGTCATATCCACTACCACCAAATGAACTCTCAATCACTCCAATTAATGTCTGATTAGACTAATTCTGACGAATTTAGCTATTCATACCCATTAAGGTCTGATCAAACTAAAAATGAC